CTTTAATTAGACTTTACATACTCATACATCATTTTCAGTCAACCTCCCACACTATTATTGTTATTCTTTATTAAACAAAAGTTATCCACGGGTTCACATGCGTGGCGGTGCGGACTTGGGCTCGACGCACATCGCGCCCTCTGAGGGGCCATTTCCGGGGAGCAGTTCCTGAACAACAAGAGCTGGCTTACTGATACTGCGCGACACACCGCCACCAGCCGGGATCCGGTCGTGTTCGAGATCGCTTCCGCCAGCAAAAATGATGTGCGACTTTCCACATTCCCAGACGGACCAACCGACAACCGTGTTCCGTGTGGTCTGTGGACTTTTCTGTCTGGGTGAGAAGGGTGAAATTGATGCATGATGGAAGTTTGGAACCACACATGTCACGGCGACTATCAACTATATGAAAGCATAGAAGGATCCAGAGGTCTTATCTATTTTTATCTCTCTCTCTTCTCTTCGGCACTCTCTCACATGGAGATGTGGACATGCACACACACCGCACACACACCACGCACACACCCGACCCCCCCCCCCTCCATCCCATCCCCCACTCGCACACCACCCCCGCACATCTGTCACTGCTTGGCGTACACCTTGCGCTCCTCGAGCGGGATGCCCTGCTCCTCCTCGTACTCGGCGAGCTGGCGCTTCCACTCCTTGCGCCACGACTTGATCACCACGAGCTGGACCTGCGATAAGTTGCGATGCTGACGGGAGGTGTTGGTTGCGGCGAGGGAGGGGGGGGGGGGGGGGCATATGGGGAAATTAATTATTAATCTATGGGCACCTGCCGCGTGATTTGCCGCGTGAGCGTCTGCTGGAGGGCGCCGAGCGGCAAGTCCCTCAGTATGGCCTCTGACTCGGGGAGTACGTGCGCGTCAATGAAGGCCGCGTCGGCCTCCTACACCCCATCATTGCACGAGCTTTAATTATTGTTGTTCTCTCGCCATGAAATTGTAGGACGAAGGCGCTCGGCCGGCACGCCGCCGTCGGCGAGCCGCTCCGCGAGATCCAGCGCAAAGTGGTTGCAGTTTCGAAAGAAAAAGCAGTACTCGTCCTGCAGGGGCGGGATTTCCCCCCTCTGTGGTCTCATCAAAATACCCCGAGCCTGTCCGCTAGGCCAGTGATCATATGAATACAGTTTCGTGCAAGGACTGCAAGGCCAGTGATCATATGAATACAGTTTCGTGCAAGGACTCGGTCCTGCGTGTAGTCGGGGGCGCCCATCTCGGCGATGATCTGCGCGATCTGGGCGTCCGACTTGCTGGTCGGGCCGCAGTTGATGGTCCGCAGCGGCTTGCCTCCCGACACTCTCTCGAGGATGCCATCGTACGTCTCCTGGAATGATGAGGGCGAGAGAATCGTGAAGGAGGAGGAGAGGGGCCAGAGGAGAGAGGGTGGAGAGCCTCCGGTTCTCCGTCGTAAGACCAACAGGACCGCCCGACTCCGATGCTAAGCTTGGGGAACCAGAAGCCCTCCTTGAATGCAAGCGCCTGGAAGGCAGAGACGAGCGGCGGGCTCGAGATGTCGTACAGCTTGAGCATCACGTCTCTTGCGCCGGCGTCTGCTGCGGGGGTCTCTCGAGCAGGCGGCCGCAGCTGTGGACCGGTCCGAAAGACAGTAAGCTTTGGCCGAACTGCCATTCCGACGACCTCGGTCGGGAGCAGGAGGAGCAACGCCAGCAGGCTGCAAGAGCGGGTGACGGTCATTTGACCTCTACCGGCAGCTGAGGTCTGAGCGAGAGGATGGCGGTGCCACTTGCGTGCCTTTCTTTCAACGCCTTCTCTTCACGCTTTTACAAATTCTTTTACATGTAAAAGAAAGAAAGAAAGAAAACAGACAACCCAAGGGAGGGATGGGAGGACGGCACGCCGCCACCACACAGGGATTTTAATCTTTTATTATGTCGTGCAAGGGAGTTTTGTTGTGAAATTCTTTTTCTTAGGAATCTGGCCCACCGGCCGAATATCCCGCCTTACGCACTCTTCACAAGAAAACCGAATTTTCTTCATTCTTGTAGGAATCTTGGCCCACCACCGCCGAATATCGGCACTGTGAGGCCCCCGGCTTCGAGCCCTCCTCCCGCTTGCCCCGACGGTCGAAAGACTCGCACCTGAGCTCGTCGCAGCTGGCAAGGCCTCCTTCGAGATGCCTCCGAAAAACGCTGTCGAGCTCTACGACGCCCAGTTCGCGCGCAAGCAGCAGAGCACCGGGCTCAGCCCTTACATTGCTCCCGCGCAGCAGCAGCGAACGGCGCCACAGATCTCGCCCGAGGTACAGAAGAAGCTGCTGGATGCGCTGGCCAAGGAGGCGGAGAAGGCACGTGCGAGAGAGGAGGAGCGGCGCAAGCGCGACCCGACCTACCGGCCCGACGCGATGGACCTCTCGTACAAGCAGCTCAAGCCGTTTGACAAGTACATCGACTACTACGAGCGGCTCGGCGTCTCGGAGTTTGCGTCCGAGGGCGAGCTCAAGGCGGCGTTCAAGGGCCTCTCGCTGCAGCTGCACCCGGACAAGCAGAGCGGCAAGACCGACGCCGAGGCGGCCACCGCAAAGGCGCGCTACTTTGAGGTGGTGGACGCATTCACTGTGCTGATCGACCTGCCGACGCGGCGGGTGTACGACCAGCAGCGCGACAAGCGCGCCGCCGCGGAGGACGCAGGCCTCGCCGACGCCGGCAAGTGCGACAAGCCGCCTCCGACCTGCGTGGACGTGCCGGTCAGCATCGAGCAGGTGTGTCTCGGATACGACCTTGGGGAATGCGCGAGGGACTGCGGCACACTGCAGCACACTCTCGGGCGAGGGACTGCGACACACTGCAGCACACTCAGGCGAGGGACTGCGGCACACCTCCACGCCGCCGGGCTAGCTCGCACACATGGCGCGACGGCCGAAGGACTACGACCGGCACCCGGTCGTCCAAAACTAAAAGGCAGCGGTGACTACGCCGACTACTACCCTGCATCGAGCAGGTGTACAAGGGGGCTCGGCTGCACGTGCCGTTTGCTCGCTCGTACTTTGCGGGGACGAAGTACGAGCGGGTGGAGCGCGAGGAGATCTTCACGCTCAAGGTGAACCGCGGAGAGCCCCCCACATCTCCCCACATCTCCCCACATCTCCCCACATCTCCCCACATCTCCCCATAAGGTGAACCGCGGAGAGCCCGAAGGCGCAACCTACTGGCACCGCTCCCAAGGCGACGTCGGTAGAGAGGGGAGGACACAGGGTGGCCAGCGACGGGGCACCAGCGCGGCATGGGTGGGACGCAAAGCGAGGCAGAAGACGGCCACGCGGGAGCGACACAGACATCGACAGACACACGACACAAGATGCTGAGCCAGCCGGGCTGCCACACATCTTGAGTGCGCGTAGGCAACGTCGGGCCGACCGGCCGCGCAGACCTCGTCTTTTGCCTGACAATGGCGCCGAAGAGACGCTCGCCCGCGTCGACGACGGGAAGATTCCTCTGAACCGCCTCGGACCCGGTCCTGCAGGCGCCGCACGAGACGTTTGCCCGGCTCGGCGACGACGTGTGGCTGTACGACAAGGGACCGGGCGGCGCGGGTGTGCCGGCCGAGCGCCTCTTCTACGGCGCTCTCGTCCTCTCCATCGACGGGAAGGTTGCGCTTGCCACCGGCAACACGCTAGCGGCCGCCCTCTAGGAACTTTCTAGGACCCTTCCAGCACCCTTCCAGGAATCTTCTAGGCAACACGCTGGCGGCCGCCCTCGGCTTCGACCGTTCGGGGCTCGGGGAGGTAGTCGCTTCAAACCGCCTCTCCCATGCCTCCTTCTTGCCTCGCCCTCGCCGCCCTGCCTCCTCTCGCCTCCTCTCGCCTCTCCCTTTGCCTCCTCCTTGCCTCACTCTCGCCGCGTCTCGTCTGAAGGCGGTCGCGAGCTCTCCGCTCTCGTGCAGCATTCCGACTTGGCGCGCGGCCAGAGGGCGAGGCGCGAGGCTGCGCACCTCTCTCGCCCACCCTCCGGCCCCGCTCCCGCCCCGCCCCGCAGGCGCTCATGCTCGCCGGCGAGCCGCACATCGACTTGGCCGACTGGAGGCGCCACTGCATCACGGCGGGCGGCCTCTCGCGCCGCTCGCGCCGCTTCCGCTGGTTCTGGCGAGTGGTGCGTTCCTACTCGCAGCAAGAGCGGCAGCAGCTGCTCCAGTTCGTCACAGGCTCTCGCCAGCCGCCCGTCGGCGGCTTTGCGCAGCTGCAGGGCTTCAACGGCGGCGTGCACAAGTTCACGCTCTGCGCGGCGTCGCACGAGCCAAAGGACTCGCTCCCGCGGGTCCACGCGTGCATCTGCACCCTCGACCTGCCAGAGTACTCGTCGTGCGGCGCGATGCGGCGTGCGCTGCACATTGCCCTCTCGATGGGCGCCGTCGGGTTCGACGACGCGGCGGTGGCTGGCGACGACGAGGCGCCGTCGGGCGACGAGTCAGCAGGGACGCCGCCGCCGGATTGAGAAAGGCCGAGGAGCTGTTTTGGTCGTGTGTGTGTACGTGAGGCTGTCCGGGCTGCTTGTGTTGTGTGTGTGTGTGTGCGCGCGCGCGTCGCCACAAGGCACGGTGATATCGGTGTGATCTCTCGTGCGACACGCGCGTTGTAAATCTCGATGTAAGTATGAAAAACGCGCCATCGCGAGCTCCACGTACCAGGTACCACGATGCACGAAGTGTGCACGAGGACGCATTACCCACCGCTTTTCCGCAAGGCCACCGCCAAGGCGCGCAGCATTGGCTGCGCGGCGACCTGCCACGTCCCCACCTTTCCACCTTTGCAGGGGAGTGGGTGAACGGTCCCCCGAAGTTCCAAGTTGTTTTTTCTCGCCATGTGTTGTACAGTTGTTTGGCATGTGTTTTTTCTTTGTCAGTTTACCGCGACCCCGCGTCGATGGCGGCTCTGCTAGCGCCAGGCCGCGTCGAAGGCGGCCGTAATGCTGGTGGCGCCTTCGAAGGCGGCGGAGAGGGCGGTAGCAGCGACGGCGATCGAGTCATGTGGCAGGGTGCGAAGATGCAGCAGGGAGGCTTGAGTTAGCGACGCGGGGCGGTGGCGTGCCAGCAGGTAAGCGGCGGCGGCGGAGAGCAGGTGTGCAAAGTAAAGGCCAATCTTGAGATATCCATTTTGCACCACCTTTGGATTTCTGGTACAAATTGACTTGTGGATCTTGAAGGCACGCGCAAGAGCGCACCAGGCAAGTTGACTGAACCTCGGATCTCGCTGCCGCTAAGCGTGGCGTCGATTATCAAACGAGCGGTGACAGTAGCGGTGGCAGCGGCGGCAGCGTCGACAGGAGCACCTACTGCAGTGTGAAATGTGAGCTGGGAGGCGGGAGGCAGATGCAATAGGAGCGGGAGAGTGAGATCGTCAGCCAGCACGGCAGACCTTTACGGCGCGGCTGCGGGCGCGTTTGCAGTGACATGCGATCCATGTGGTAGCAAAGGCACGGCGGGAGTAGCGCGTATCCGTATGCAGGCTGTGAGCGAGGGTGGCGCGTCGCGAGTGGACTTTCTGTGTGGCATGGTGTCCGAAGAGGCCACCGGCCAAAAGCGCATGTCTTGAAGGTCCGATACTGGAAGCCCATATAGGCACCTGACCCTTGGTACCCCCGCGCTACCGGGTACCCACCTCGAGACCATCTCCCGCCGGTCACGCGTGCCATGCACTCCGGCGCGGTCGCGGTGGGAGTTCTTCGATGGCGGCTCTGCTAGCGCCAGGCCGCGTGCCATGCGACGGCACCGCTGGTGTTATCTGGCTCGCTGTCGGCGTCATGTCCTCGCCTTCGCACGATCGGCAGCGGGTGGCGGTGCGTAGCACGTGGGGTCGGTCGCACATAGCGGCCGTCCTACCGTGCTTCCTGGTCGGCAAGCTGGTCAAGCGTACTCCCCGTGCGCCGTGGGACAAGCGGCACGCGAGGGAAGCGGCCGAGCCGGATGGCGGGCCCAAGGGCGAGCTCTCTCCAAACCCGGCCGCCCACGCGCTCGCGCTGGAGCACGCGCAGTTTGGGGACGTGCTCGTGCTCGATGGCTCGGCCGAGATCCACCAGGGCGGTACGAGTGGCCTCAAGACGCTGACGTGGTGGCGGCACGTCCGGGACAGGCTCCCGAATGCGCAGTGGGTTGGCAAGTGCGACGACGACACGCTCGTCAACGTGCCTCGGCTGATGATGCGCCTGCCACCCGTCGATCGCGCTGAGCCGCGCTCGCTCTTCGGAACCATCAAGTGGGGCTGCTACTCGGACAAGAGGCTCAAGTGGGAGTCGTCGTGGCGGGACTGGCGGTGTGGCCGCACGCAGTTCGCGCGCTCACGCGCGCCCGGCGAGCCGGCCAACCTGAGCGCGACGTACGAGGGGCCGTACGAGCTCGCGCTCGGCTGGTTCTTCGCGATGCCGCGGCGCATGGCCCTGCTCTTGGCGGACTGCGCGTACGCCAACCGGTTCCACGAGCGCGCGCTCCACGCGACGCGAGAGCCGTTCCTGCGCAAGGAGGACGACCCTCTCAACGGCTTTTGGCTGTACAAGTGCCTGCGAGAGAAGGGCATGCCACCCGTGCAGCCGCTGCCGTCGATGAGAGAGCCCGAGGCGCACAACATGGCCTGCATCTCCTCGCGAGGCCTCTACCGCCGACCGAGCAACGCGTCCATCGCAGTGCACTTCCTCAAGACGGTCTCGGCGATGCGGTACGTGGCTGCGACGCTGCGCGCAAAGAGACAGCCTGCGATCGCCGTCCCGCCCTCGCGCCGCTGCTGCAGCCGAATGGTCTGGCCGAGTGAGCGAGCACAGCACCCTCTCGAGGCGTGCGAGCGGCTGCTTTCTGCCGAGGAAATGGAGGCGGAGAGAGCTATCGACGCTGCGGCAGAGCGCAACCGTCTCGGTCGGACACCCAGGGGACACGAAGCATGAGCGCGAAAGCCGAGACCTCTTCGATTCGACAGTTTTAAGTACTCACTGTCCCCTCACCCCTCGTCACGCTGCCCCTCGCCTCGTGCTGCGCGCCCACCTCGTCCTCGGAGTCGCAGTCGGTGCTCGGACCTCGTCAACAGCTCAACACGTGCCGAACATCCCCGATCCCGCAACACGATACGCTCCCGACACACACAGAAAAAAGAGCGGCAAGACGAGTTGGGGCTCTGCGGCTAGAGCCTAGACGAGACGGGGAGGGTGTGAACTTTCGTTTTATTACGTGCATGAATGTAAAAGTGGCGGCACATGCACATGCACATGTGCATGTGCATCTGCATGTGCATGTTACGCGATTGCTTGCGCAGCCACCCGACGGCAGGCGCAAAACTCCTCCGGCACACCCGCCTCCGCGCAAGTGCGGTGCTCGGGGAGCGGGTCGAGGATGGATAGCGCTCCGGCCTCTAGCGAGGCGGTGTTCGGATACGCTGCGAGCTGGACTATTGCATGGTAGAGCTCACGCACGGTCACCATTCGCCGCGTATTCGCGCGGAGAGCGGCCTGCCAGGCGGGCCGCTCGCGCATCAGCCAGTCGGGCGCGAGGACGTAGAGGACAGGCAGCTTGTGCTCGGCGGCGCCGATCTCGTAGTCGTTGTACCAGATGCCGTGCGTGCCGTGGTCCGACAGGAGCATCACCACAGTGTCGCGGAGGAGGCCGGCCGCGTGCCGCTCGAGGAAGGTGGAGAGCGCGTCATCGAGGGCGGGCAGCCGCATGGCGCTCAGCCTAGAGAACAGCGCTGTGCCCTACAGCTGCGTCGAAGCAGCTGAGCGGCTGGTATTAGCCAATCGGAAGCGGTGGGAGGAAGGCAGGCCGCAGCGGAGCGAGAGCAGGAGGCGTGCGCTCGAGACGACATCGGAAGAGCTCAATCGGGTGCGAGCGCAACTAGCCTGGGAGCGGGCCGAGCTCACGGCGACTGAGGCTCAGTTGGAGGAGGCGGCTGCGCAGCTGTACAGCCTGAGGGGCGAGATTCACTCACGAGAGGAGGAGGACGAGGCTAGGTGCGCTCACCCCCCCCCCCCACCCCACCCCTTTGAGCCATCCCTCTCTTGCTGCTGAGCACACAAGAATTCAGCCATGAGGACGCGTGCCTGTGCAAGTCACCTTTCGCTCCTCTCTACACAGGCTCGCCGCTTGCCAGGAAAGTACCCGTCAGGCCGAGCTCTCGGCTCGGGAAGAGGCTGAAAAGCTCGCCAAAGACCGGAAAATGTGGCACGAGACGCTCAACATGAAGGAGGCTTCACTTCTAATGGCGGAAAAAGCGGCTGCACGCGCGCGAGATCGTATGAAGCGCGCCAATTGCTCCACCAAAGTGGAGGTGCGCAGCGTGGTCGCGGAGGTAGAGCCGCTCCGCGAGGCTGTATTGCTGGCTTCCGCAGCGCTGGAGAGCGCAAATGAGGCTGCGTGCGAGGCGGAGGCGAGACTAACTCAGGAAGCGCTCGGAGAACCAAGGTGTGTCACCAATATGTGACAGGTAATGAGGCTGCTAGAGGTGTGTAATGTACTCCTCGTGCCAATAAAAGGGAAAAAGGTGCTACACACAGCCGCCTAGTTCACGAACGTGTCTAACCACGCGCACACAAGATATGCGTCCTCGGGTCGGCCTCTCGCGCTCCGCCCATCGAGTCGCGCCCCCGTGGCGCGCGTTCTCTCTGGCGCACCTCTCTAAGAGTGTGCAATGATGTGAACCGCGTTGTTCACCTGCGTTGTGCGCGAGCTGAGCGCGGCGGAGATCAGCTTCGTAAAGTGTTCCGCCGCCTAGAAGCGGGCGGGGGTGGGGGGGTCAGCGCGTCGTGGGGCGGCGCTGCAGCTGTGGACGAAGGGACTGGGTGGGCCGTCGCCTGAGTCTCCGATTTGCCGAGCCGAAGGCAGTCGCGCACCCAGAAGATGTCTTCGGCCCGCTGCAGCTCGGGGATGCCCGTCGATAGCATCAGCTGGAAGAGCGTGATGAACTCGTGGCTGTGTCCGCGTAGAATGCCGTACGCTCGGCAGCAGAGGGCTACGAAGTGTTCGTAGTCGCTGTGGCCCTTGTCGCCGAGGACACGAGCGAAGTCTGGGGTGAAGACGAACGGGGCCCGCTCGCGCTTAATCCCAAACTTGGACTTGTAGTTGCCCAGGAAATGGCCTGCATGGGCGCGAGAGACGCGTGCGTTGTGGGGCGTCCTCGTCCAAGCGCAGGAGTACGTCGCGTCCGGATGTAAGAGCAGCAGTTGACAGCAGCGGGGCGCGTGAGGGGAGAGATGTGACCACGCGTGTGGGAGTGTGTGCGGGGTGGCACCAAAGTCGATGTGGAAGAGGTGGCCATTCTTGGAGAGCATCACGTTGTCATTGTGCCGGTCGCCGATGCCGAGCACGTATGTGGCGACGCAGTAGCCCGCGAGCGAGTGCGCAAAGGTCTCGACGGCCGCGGCATACTCGCGCTCGCTCTTGTTGTGCTCGCGCAAATAGTGTGCCATCGGCTCCTTTGCAAACGCGCCGGATGCGCCGCCGCCGTACTCCTTTGTGATATTTGCCGTCGTGTTCGAATTGAGCACGATCTCGATGAAGCCCACCTCGTCGCCAGTCGCGACGACTCCATACGGCGAGAGCCGGAGATCGAGGTCCTCGGCCTCCCACTTTCGCTCCATGCTCCGGATGAGCTGCATCGTCAGCGCGTCCTGCCGCAAGTCGTCGCCGCACTTGAACATGACGGTGACGTCCGTGCCCTGCGGGTCCGCGTTGGAGAAGACCAGCCACAGAGGCACCTTCTTCGAGTCCATGCACCGGCACTTACGCACAACGAGGCCCGTGCACTCGATGCGGGGGTCTAGCGGCAGCTGGAAGCGCGGCGGTAGCTCCGTCTCGCTGAGCTTCTGCCGCAGAAGCGCAATCCGCTCCGACTTCTTCTCGCGCTGCACCGCCCGTGCGATTGCAATCAGCGACTGCTCAACGCGCGACTGAAGCAGGAGCTTCTCGCGGTGAGGGCCGCAGCAGCGCAGGTACTCTTGTAGCAGGAGGCCGAAGCGCTCCGAAACCTCCGGCAAGTGCATCTCGGCCTTGAGCGCCCAGAAGAACCGGTGGCCGACCTGGTGTGGACAGCGCAGTGCGCGTCGCAGCAGCAGCCGCGCGAGGGCCGAGTCGTGCCGCGACTCGTACTTGAGGACCTGCGTGAGCTGCAGCACCAGCTCGGCGAGGGCCGTGTCGCTCATCTCCCCGAGTCGCTCGACGGCGTATGCGCGCACTTGCGGGTCGGCGAACTTGGCGTCGAGGAGCTTGAGCGCCTGGGTCGGCGATGGGACGGCCCACTTCCGCAGTAGTGCGTGCGCCTCAGCGACAGCCGTGCGGTCGTCCCACTTGCACGACTCGAGCAGCTTGCTCAGCGCCTCGGGCGAGGACGAGACGAACTCGCGGTGCCTCCACACGAGCTCCTTCTCGTCGAGGGAGAGGGGCGAGAGAGGGTCCTGCTCGATGATGCGCTTCAGCCGCAGCACCTCCTGCGTACTGGGCAGAGCTCCCGCCGCGAGCGAGCCCGGGCGGCGAGCCCGCGGCGGCATCGGGGGCGGCGGCTCCGGGGCCGAGGCGCTGTCGAACTCTTCGTCGGGGGGCATGACGACTGGCACGGCGAAGCGGTCGAACGCAACGAAGAGGACGGGCGGCTCTGGCTGGGACGGGTCGAACGTTGCGTTCTCCAAATTGCAGCCGATTGGGTTTGCGCTCTCCTCTGGCCAGAGCCGCAGAGCGTGCGTGCCGTTCGCAAGGCGCTCGTCGTGCCCCACCAGCATCATCGAGACCCAGCCGAGGCTGCAGCTGGTGGCGGCGCCCTCGTCGTCGCGGGCCGCCCGCCCCCCAGCCGGCCGCGCGCAGAGTGTGAAGCAAACGCGGGCGGCGCGAGGAATGTGGTGCAGCGGCAGGCTCGTTTGCAGGCTCGCCGACCAGCTCGGGTTGCTGCCCTCGTCGCAGATCGCCGCTGGCGTCTCCACTGGGTCGCATAACGGCACGCCGCCATGATAGACACCGAGTCGCACGGAGAGAGCCCACACGCCGCTGCAGGCGCCACCACGCCGGGGACTGCTGTAGGCCGCTGCGAGGACCGAGCGGAGCCGTTCTGCAGAGATGATCTCGACTCGCAGCTTGAGGTGGTCTGGAAGGTCGTAGAGAGAGAGAGAGCAGGACGGCGGCCCGCTCGCAAGCGCTGGCTGCGGCGGCTGCGGCGGCACACTGCTGAGGGGCGGCAGGCTGGCGAGCGGGTTGGGGACGAGCGAGAGCGCCACCTCCGCCCCCTTTCTGAGGCAGCGGCGCACGTACTCGTAGCTCACCACGATCCCGCCGTCGAGGTACTCGTCGCAACCGACGACCTTGAGACACATGAGGTGGGCCGGGCGCGAGTCGTCGAGGGTCGCCTTGGCGTACGCCGCGAGTGCCTTCGCGCGAAGCGCGTCCACCGTGGTCGCCGCGTCCACGGGCAGCTTCTTGGTCATCTCGTCCGAGAGGCGGACCGTCGCGGTGAATTGCTCGGGGAGCCACGACGCGTTCTGAGACTCGCAGCGGAAGGTGGGGAGGTGGCGCCACACGGCCGCGGCCGAGTGTGCTGCGGCCTCCGTCGGCCTCAGCGCGCGCATCGCAAGGCGGAAGGCGATCGGCTCGGCCGACTCGGAAGACCAAGCGAGGGGTGGCCCGAGCAGCTCATGCACTGCAGCAGCGCTGCCGCTCTCCTCTGCGGCGACGGCGCGTGGCAGCGTCGCTTCGGAGAGTCTGCAGAGCCGCAGCACGGGCGCCCGCCGGTACTGCAGGTGCTCGCGAACCGTCGTCACTTGCGAGAGTGGCAGCTCGGACTCGTCGCCCTGCCCGGGACCGGCGCTGCTCTTGGAGCCGCGCAAGACTTCTCCCGAGACCGCCACTTGGAGGACCCACTCCGTGTCGGCGCTAGAGTTTCCCGAGAGACCCGCTGCGGAGCGCCCCAACAGGCGGCGCCTCATGAGGACGATGGCGTCGGCGACGGTGTGGGTGAGCGACAGCGTGACGAGCAGCGAGCTTCCGTGCGAGGGCACGACGCGGACGGCAAAGTGAAGCGGCAGCTGCGCGGTATAGCTCCGTGAGGCGTGCTGTTGGGCCCGCTCACAGAGGGCTTCCGTAGCCACAGCCAGCTCTGCTCGCGTCGGCCAGTCGAGCCTGTAGCACGCGTCCAGCATGGCCTCCACCGCCGCCTCGGCCGGCGGAACGTCGTTGAGGCACCCTTTCACGAGGTCGCTCGACAGCTCTCCCTCGGGCAGACTCCCCGGGGACTGGTCGAGGCTGCACGCGAGCGACGCTAGCCGCGCGAGCAACTGTGCTGCAGCAGTCGACGTCCGCGCGGCGCCATCGGACGGAGGCGACGGCTCGGAGGGGCCGCGCTTGCCAAAGGCGGCATAAGAGATGACGGCAACGTACCCCACCGACGCACCGGTGGCGTCCGAGCGTCGAGCGCCGCCCGCGAAGAGCTGGGAGAAGCCGATGGCCTCCCCCGCGCCCACGCGGCGCGATCCAGGCTCCCCAGGCTGCCCTCCCCTACCGGTAGCCGACCCAGGCTCCCCTACGTCAAGCAGGCCCTCAAGCACGAGGCAGACAAACGAGGCGGGCTGGCCCTCTCTCAGGATGACGTCGCCGGGCGTGAAGCGCACGATGGCGCACGCGTCGCTGAGCGCGGCCACGTTTGCGAGGGAGAGGGCGCCATGCGCCCAGGGCGAGTCGCGGAGGCGATGTAGCAGCTGGACCGCGGTCGCGGGCGGCACTTGAGAGGGAACGGCGCCGGCGGTGCCTCGAGGGCTGCTTCCCCCACCGCGCGACCGACCGTCGTCCCATGTGCTGTCAAAGGTGCTGCTGAGCGGCCTCTGGAGGACGCCGCAGCAGAAGGCCTCGAGCGGCAGCGAGCGGCCGCGCATCTCCCAGCTGAGCGCCCGGAAGCGCGCGAGCAAACCGTCCTCCTCTTCCTCGCAGCCGGCCTTGGAGGAGGAGACCGAGCCGCGCGCGGCCGAGTCGACCGCGGCGGCGGTGATTGCAGAGGCGAGCGCCGACCTTGTCGCGTTGCACCCGGCAAAGGTGCCGCTCATTCGGTCGAGGTCGGCGTTGCCGATGAGGCATATCACCCCTGGCTCCACGCCCACCACGTCGGAGGGCCTTGCCTCGGCAGAGAAGAGCCCCTCCGCGCCGAGGAGGTCGCCCGCTGAGCGAAGGACGAGCGAGGCGTCGCCGCCGACCTCCTCGCCGACGGAGCCCTGCAGGATGAGGCCGATGAACGTGGGCGCCTCGCCCACACAGAGGAGCGGCTCCCCCGCCTCGAAGCCCGCCACCGCAGACGCGAGCGCGAGCTCTGTGAGGAGCTCGTCCGACAGGGCGAGCAGCCAGCGGCCCTCGCCGCCGGGAAGATGCGCGACACGCCGCTGCAGCCCCTTGAGCAGGCCGAAGGCGTCGGCGGCCGCAAGCTCGCCCGGCAGAGACGTGTAGGGGAGATCCGCCTGCTCGTTTGAATTACTGGAGCCGGAAGACCTCACCGACTCTGCCCTCGAGCCGAGCGACACCTTGCGGTCCAGGTCGACCGAATCCTGGAGTCGGAGGGATCGCCGGCTGCCGCTGGCCGAGACCCGTGACCCGCTCCGCGACACCGCCGGCCGAGACGCCACCGGCAGCCGCAGCTTGCTCGGGGTCCGCAACACGCTCCAGGTCCCCTTGGCGCTGTTGGCAGGAGGGAGAGCGCAGGCAATCGTCTCCTCCGCCTCCTGGGAGCAACCCCATCCCTGCGCCGCCTGCTGCTCCAGGAGCTGGCACACGCGTGCGTCCACCTGCGCGGGGGCAGCACGTGCTAGGGGTCGGCGCGGGCGTAGCACTCCTAGCGGGCAGCAAAAGGGAGCACTCACCTCTGCCTCCGAGACGTGGGCACCACGCTTGTCCATCGCCGCGCGCGCGCAACAACTCGAGAGCTTGAGGCCGAGCGGTGGATTTTCCCGGCCGATGAGCGCGTCGAGCCGTGCAAACGGAAGCGTGGCGAGAGCGCCGGCCTCGGCCGAGACAAATGCGCAGCTGCGGACACTCCTCGCAAAGAGCGCGTCCGAGCCAATGAATGTGCCGACGCCGAGCGGCGCGCCCGCGGCGCCGGACGGTAGAACCTCGGCCACGGATCCCTGCAGCACGATCAGCATCGTCGTTGCCGGCTGCCCCCTCGTCAGCACCTCGACGCCCGCTTCAAAGCGGGCGACGGGAGAGACCAGCTTCGCGAGCTCTACGATTTGCTGGAAGGTGAAGGTCGAGAGGTCCTCCGAGTGGTTCTGTGCGTTGACGAGGAGCAAGAGGGCCTCCTCCTCGTCCGCCATGCGAGCGAATGTGCGCGGTGCAATCCCGGGGCGACCGAGCAAAGGAGGCGTGATACAGGTTTTTTACCTCGGGTTTCTTTTGTGTGTTTTTTGCGCGCGCGTGCGTGTGCGTGTGCGTGTGCGTGTGCGTGTGCGTGTGTGTGTGTGTGTGTGTGTGTGTGTGTGTGTGTGTGTGTGTGTGTGTGTGTGCGTGTCGCTCTAAAAAGAAATAAAGGAAGAAAACAGACAACCCAAGGGAGGGATGGGAGGACGGCACGCCGCCACCACACAGGGATTTTAAGGAGAGGTGTGTGGTGCGCTAGCCGTCGCCCACCCTAGGGAGTCTGCCTCTTCCTATCTCTCTTCGCAGTCTCTCGCCGATTCTCGCTGCAACCTTCATGCCACCTCGCGGTCGTCCCACTCTCGTCGTTCTCTCCCTTGTCACTTCCTCCTCTGTCGCGTCGTTCTCTTCTGCCTCGTCCTGCGACGCCGCCGCCTGCCGGTCCCTTGTTCTCGCGGCTTCTTTCGCCTTTTCGGCGCAACTCCGTCCTCCTCGCGGCGTATCCTGGCCCCTCGAGTCTATCGAGCTCCCCTCGCGCAAGGACCACATTTCTGACTCCCACTCCGATCATTTGCCTACAGGTCTGCGTGTCGCTCTCGATGCGTGCGTTCGCAAAATTCTCTTTTTGGATGGCGGCACTTTGCCTCTGCCTCTGCCTCCCTGTCTGCCTTCTCTCCGCCCTCCCCCCGCGCTGCAGCCCGCCCCGCCTGTCCGCCGCGCCGCCCGCGGTCATCCTCACGCGCGAGCGCGGCAAGAACGGCAAGCTCGACGCGCTGCTGCGCGAGCGCGGCGTGCCGACTGCGGAGCTGCCGTGCATCGCGTTTCAGCAGCTGCCCGCCGGGCAGGCGGAGCTGCCGCCGGCCCTCGCGGAGGAGACGCCGGCCTGGGTCGTCGTCACGTCGCCCGAGGCCGCCGGCGTGCTCGCTGAGGGCTGGGAGCGCGCCGGCCGGCCTCACCTCCGGCTAGCGTCGGTCGGCGGGGCGACGGCCAAGGCGCTCCAATCGCTCGGGCTGCGCTCCGCCTTCACGCCGACCAAGGCGACGGGGAGGGCACTGGCAGAGGAGCTGCCGCTCGACCACGGCGACAGCGGAGGCGGCGACGGCGCGCCGCCGGCGGTGCTCTACCCTTGCTCTGCGCTCGCCGCCGACACCGTGTGCGCCGGCCTGGAGCGGCGCGGGTTCGGCGTGCGCCGCATCGACACGTACACGACGGTGGCGGCTGAGTGGGGGCCGTCCGAGGAGGAGGCCGCTCGCGCCGCGTCGGTCGTCTCGTTCGGCTCGCCGTCCGCAGTGCGCGTCTGGCACGAGCGGGTGTGCCCTTGGTGGAGAGAGAGGCCCGCCTCCCGCGCGCGCGCGTGGCAGCGCCGCCACCCAACCACTCGCCGCCGCTGCAGGTCGGCTCCGGCGCCGTCGCCGCCTGCATCGGCGAGACGTCTGCGGCGCAGGCGCGCGAGCTCGGCTTCAGCCAGGCGCGTGTGCGGGAGGGCAGGGAGGGAGGGGAGAGAGGGGAGGGAGAGAGGGGCCCGAGGCGGTGAGCGACCTGCGCCCGACGCAGGTGATCGCGCCCGACTCGCCCGGCGTCGAGGCGTGGGCCGAGACCATTCTCTCTCTCGGCCTGTGGGGGCCGTCAGAGTAGCCGCAGCGCGCAGGCGAGCCGGCGCCGGGTCCGGTCGACACATCTCATCGTCATGGACGCGGCTTAAATACTCTGTTGCATCTCGGTTACGTTCATGGTTGCGTTTTCGCCCAAAGCCTTACTTTTGCCAAAACCGCGTGGTGATTTCGAGTGTTCTGACTGCATGCTGTGTACACACACCACACAGCTCACAGAGTGAGACACAAACGACCGCAAAGTGGTCCAAAAACAAAGTGGTCCAAAAAAGCGCGGTGCCGCGCCGAGGAGCCAGGTGCGTACGACACCCCACCGACAGACTAACGGGTCGCGGGGAGCGAACACAGCCTGTCAGCGATCGCGTTACTTTTGCGGAGTCACCTCACACACCGAGCAGTGTCGATCACTAACTCAGTTCTCAAGGCGCTGCCCTCACTGGTGCTGGGCGGCGCCTCGCCAGCAGCACCCGCTCGTGCCGCCCGCGCCTCCACCGCAGCCTTCGCCGCCGACTGCAGCCGCGCCGCCGCGGCGTCGTCGAGCTCGCCCGGCTCCCACCCGTGCTTTTCGCGCATCTTGCGGTCGTGCTCCGCCTGCGCCTCGGACGGGCGGAAGCGGGAGGCGGCAGCGCTGTCCTCCACATGCGCGCCAGTGAGCGCCGCAAAGAAGACGCAGGCGGCAAGGTACGAGCCCAGGCGGGAAGGGTGGAGGTCGTCCGGCGCGTAGAGACGGCGGAAGAGGGAGGCGGGCGACAGCGGGTCGCGGCCCGCCTCCACCTCCTCTCGGTGGACGAGCTCGAACGCGTCGCCGACGGGAGCCAGCTCCGCCTCCGCCCCGGCGGCCCGCAGCAGCTGCGTGTAGCCCTCGCAGCCCGCGGTCGTCAGCCGCTGCATCGTGGCGTAATCAGGGTAGCGGGCGCGCAGCCGGGCGTAGGCGCAGCCCGCCGCGTGGCCCCATGTCCCGTAGAGCAGCACGCGACGGCCGGCGAGGCGAGGCGCGAAGAAGTCACGCAGCGCCGACTCGGACGCGGCGCGGTCGCCTGAGTCGGCGCCGCCCGGGACGGCGGAGTTGTCCTGCAGGACTGCGACGTCCCACGGCTGCTCCAGCAGCGCCGCGACGCTCAAGTCAGCGGCGTGCTGCGCCAGTCGCTGGCCACCCGGCGTGACCTGCCCGCTCGAGGACGAGACGCCGCCCGCCGCGAGGAGGCCGGCGAGCATCAGCGGCAGGTCGTGGTAGTAGACGTAGCTGTTTCCAATCCACGCGATGTGCATTGTGTCTAACGTGTGGGAACAGAACCCAGGGAGCTGTGCAGCGCCGGCCCGTCAGAGTTCGGAGGACGTCCGTGCTTGCAAACAGAATTTGGCGGGAAGCGAGTTAAAATGTGTGGGCACTTCAAGACACAGAGCTCACACAAAATCAAAGGAAGCGGCGAGTCGCAATTCCAGGGTCGTTGTGGAGTTCGTTGTATACGTTGTGGCGCTGTGGACAGCTGGCTGTGGCGGGCCGGTGCCTGTATCCCTGTCCAGAGAGGCACGGGTGCCAATCTGGGGTCTTTCGACCGAGTCATGAGCGATGAGCCCTGACCAGGGATTCCCCTCTCGTATAGGACAAAGTTGCACCCGCCCCACGTGCGCAGACGCGTGCAACCTCCTACTTTTCGGTGATCTTCACAAAGAAATACTCGAACTACCAGGGAATTCTTTTTCCTGCGCCAGTCCGTATTTGTGTCGAGCTGGCGAGTAGAGACCACGCCTGCTATTCACAGCACAAGCCCTCGCCGGGGGCTCGAGCATGCGCAGCGAAAAGCAGGCGTGCGGCATGCGGAGCTCCCCACCGGCGGCGGGCTTGAAGACACTGAGCCGAGCGCGCCGGCGGCGGACCGCCGCCGGCGCGCTCGCTTCGGCGGATGGCTGAGCGGCACAGTTTCTGGCCGCCCGGCCTGCGAGCAGTCGCCGCGAGACGATCAAAGGTGCTCAATTCAAGCGCGCCGCCATGCCAGATCTCGCCCCACGCCCCGGCCAGACCGGGCAGTGCGTGCAGGAATGATGCAGGCATGATGGGTGGGTGTGGTGAGCACGCCAGCGGCACCGCTGCGCACTCTCAGGGTCGCAGCCGCCTATCTCGTGACCGGGGCGTGGCTCGGGGCGGGTGCGAGAGAGTCGAGGAGCGCGGCGCGCGCGTGCGCGCGCGTGGTAAAGTCGGTTTATATTTCATCACTGGTATAAAAGAGACCCCCAAAACGGCACTCGCGCCGCGCCCACGCGCGCTCGTATCACCTCAACACTCACACAGCACGCTTGAATGAAGCCCCCGAGGGGCGAGCCGGACCGGCTGAAGAGTTGAATAGAGTTGACGGTTCTCTTCGCAGATCCATGAGGAGCTGTGAGGAGGCACATTTCCGGCTGGTTTCGGCTCCGGCAACCGCCGGCATCACGTGGAACCGCCGGCGGGGCGAGAGCCAGCAGCGGGCAAACCGCGCCTCCGGTGCTCCGCTGCGATGACGAGCTGGCGCCAGCCACGCGCGGCCTGGCCAGGTCGGCAGGCGAGCTGCAGGCATGCCGAGCGCGCGCGCGCGCGGCGGTACATCCTTTAACAACAAACTCTACATCATAAGCGGCGAACGAGGCACGGTCGCTCTCCGACATGACGAGGCGCGTTGCACTTGCCAGTGCTGCCCTGGCCTTCTCTCTGCCCGCCCAATGGGTGGCAGGTGCCTCTGCTGCTGTGGCATGCCTCACGGCTGCGACTGGCCGGCGCTCGGCGCGTCAGCTCGGCTAGGTGTAGCGATCGTGGCCAGCGCCCAACTCGCTTGGACTCAACGCTCAGCCAGGAGCTCCCGCACGCGCTGGCGCGAGTCATGGCGCATGCAACGCGCAGCAATGCTCGCCTCGCCTCGCGCAAATGCGACCGTCCTCGCAGCCGACAGTCCACCGCCTGCTAAAGAAGCACAGCGACGAATGCGAACAAAACAACATGTTTGGTATTGCTAAAAATCTCTCTCGAATGCGGCACCGGCGACGCATGGCAGGCTGGTCATGACGCAGTTATAGGGTGTATAGGGTGTTGTGTGCCGTCAGAGTGACTCTGTGTGTGTCAGGGATAGTCAGGGCCGTCCATCAGAGCTCCAGTAAGCTCGGAGACACCTCATTAGCGCGGCTCGACCTCTTTGAGTCACTGCCTTCCCAGCGGTTTGGCTGTAGAGCCTCTACAACAAACTCTACAACAAAATCGCGCTCTACATCGCTCTACCAACGCAGGCGCCTCGTCACGCGGCGGATGTAGAGCTCCACAGCTCTACAGCGCTCCAGAGCGCTCTACAGCTCTACAGCTCTACAGCGCTCTACACTCTACATCCTCTACACCCTCCCTCAGGAGCCTGTCTGCTATAAATAGAGCAGTCACCTCCAGGAGAGATGGGCGACGCACGAACACAGAGGCACAGTGCGCACCCCGCCCCGCTCGCAGGGCGTGCACCACACAGGTGGGCTGTGTGACTCCTCGGGTTTCTGGGGACTCTGACAGAGCCGGGGCCGCGCAGAAATTCTTTTTCCTGGCTCGCTCGCTTTGAGTGCCGCTCGCGCACGGCATCACGCACCACCACGCCCATGTCCGAGTACGCCCTCTCCGACCCTCCTACGGACGGCGTCACCGCCGTCCGCTTCGGCCCAACTGGCGACAGCCTAGCCGTCACGAGCTGGGACGCGGCGCTGCGGCTGTACGACGTGGCCTCGGCCGACGTGGTAGTCCGGCTGCCGCAGCCGGCGCCGCTGCTCGATGTCGACTTTGTCGACGCGGGCAGCGTGCTGAGCGGCGCAACGGACGGCGGGCTGCGGCTGCACGGGCTCGAGACGGGCGTGGAGCGCGTGCTCGGCTGGCACGCCTCTGGCGTCCGTTGCGTTCGCTTCTGCGGTGCGGTCGGCGCTGGCGTGAGCGGCAGCTGGGACCGCTCGCTCAAGCTGTGGGACGTGCGGACGGCGGAGGCGTGCGTCGGCACCTATGCCCAGCCGGACAAGGTGTTTGCGCTCTGCGTCGGCGCGCCAGGCGCCCCTCCGCCGCCCGCGCCGCTCGTGGTGGTCGCGACGGCGGCGCGGCACGTCCACCTCCTCGACCTGCGCCGGTGGCTGCTCCCGCGCCCGCGGCCCCGTGTGATGCCTCCTCGCACACACCTCGCACACAGCGCGCGTGACCCGCCCGCCCGTCGCCCAGGCCTTCCGAGCCGCTCCAGCGGCGCGAGTCGGCGCTCAAGTGTCAGACGCGGGCCGTGGCGCAGATGCCGGGCGGGCTCGGCTACGCACTCGGGTCCGTCGAGGGTGCGGCGTGCGTCGCCGGAGCCCCGCCGGGTGAGCGCCGCCGAGTGAGGGTGCCGGAGCTGCGCCGTGTAGGTCGCGTCGCCGTCGAGTACGTCGACCCGAGCGCCGAGGCGCAGGCGCGCAAGTACGCCTTCAAGTGCCACCGGACGGTGGTCGACGGCGTCGGCACCGCCTTCCCCGTCAACGCCATCTGCTACCACCCGAGGCACGGCACCTTTGCGACGGGCGGCTGCGACGGGCATGTCAACGTCTGGGACGGCGCCAACAAGAAGCGACTCTGCCAGCTCCCGAGGAAGCCAACGTCGGTCGCGGCCCTCGCCTTTTCCGCCGACGGCAGCCGGCTCGCCGTGGCGGCGTCGTACACGTACGAGATGGGGGAGCGGGAGCGCGCGCCGGACGCGGTCTACGTGCGCACGGTGGCGGAGGCGGAGGTCAAGCCAAAGGCGAAACGCGGCGATTCCTGAAACAAGTGAAAGTGGCAAAGTCGGAGTGCGGACATTTGTCTCAATGTGTGCATTCGAACTGTTCACGGATCGCGCGCAGTCCGCAGAGGGGTATACACAGTATTTGGTTGACGCTTTTCAGCCGTCGGCGTCGCTCCGCACCGGCCGCCGCCCCCGCGCGCTGCCGCTGGCGCCGGCGGCCGGCACAGGCCACGACAGCGCGGCCGCACAGCGCACACGTTTGACAGCTTGACACGAGCCGCCGGCGCCGCGCGCCCTCGCGCCTCGGTCCCCTCGCGCCCTCGCGCCCTGCTGCCCCCGCGCCCCGGCCCCCGCCGGCATGCCCGCCGGAAAGCGAACCGCGAACGGCAAAGCCGCCCGCAGACGAAAGGGTGCGCCGCGGGCTGCCGGGGCGCGCACGTCCGGCCGCTGCGCACACGTGGGTGGTGGGAGATAATATACGGAGTGCGCGCTAGAGACTAGAGTGTAAGATAGAGATCAAGTCGGCAAGAACACAAGCAAGCGAACACTTCTCTCCACCCCCTCTCGTTTTCGCTCACACCATAAGAGTTAAGGCATAAGGATAAGCCTCAATCGTCAACGACGCCTCACGAGGACGCACAAAAACCACGCGCCTGTGATCTCTCAAATCCTCAAAATCTCTCTGTTGTGTGATCTCTCAATCCGATATCATGTCCGTCTGACATCGTCATCGCTCTGGTGGAGACCGGTTGAGGGTTGTGCGCTCGGATCCGCAATCTCGCGCGCTCGACATTCTCCGGCTACGAAGCCACTCGCGGCAAACAGCTCTTTGCTCGCCACAAACCTCCTTCTTCGCTCACGCCCCGTCGGAAGCAAGCGGTTCGTCGCCGCCCCCGCCGCCGCCGCCCTCCGCCTCCGAATCCGAGTCCGACTCGTCGTCGGCGAGCGCGCGCAAAGTGAGCGACTGGCGGCTCACCCTCGCCGGCCCGCTCAGCGTCACGCCGTGTGTCCAGCAGCAGCTGCACGCCGCCCGCCCGACGTGGCGCAAGCTGCAGGTGCGGGTGGCGCCCTGCGACGCCCCCGTGAGGACGTATGCCGAGCCGGGCGGCAGCGGCACCTGCACCGTCCTCCGCCCCGCCTTCTTGGCGCCGAGCTGCATGCAGAGCGAGAAGGCCTCGCCGCGCAGCTCGCCTAATTGATAGTGAATTAATAGTTAGTTAATAGTAATTAAGAGCGAGAAGGCCTCGCCGCGCAGCTCGCCTAATTCATAGTGAATTAATAGTTAGTTAATAGTTAATTAAGAGCGAGAAGGCCTCGCCGCGCAGCTCGCCCTCGGTCGGCAGCTCGGACCACGCCAGCGTCGCGATCCCCTCCTTCCACATGTCGCGCACGTCGTAGTGGTTCGCGATGTGGTTGAAGGCGCTGACCCGCGTGAGCTGCAGCGCGTTTGGCACGACAGCGGCGGGCCCGTCGGCCGGCGCCGCCCCGCCCCACAGCCCCGTCGGCGCGAAGACCGCGCGGAGGCGTCCCTCGACCAGCCGCAGCAGCTCGGCGTGCGTCTCGTCGAGCGGCCACATCCGAGACCCCTCCAGACGCGACCCCTCCCCCTCCGCCTCCGCCTCCGCCTCGGCGGGGCAAAAGTCGACGCGCTCCACCGCGGAGGTGAGGTCGTGGTACCTGCTCGCAGCGAGAGGCGTGACGCGACGCCCTCCCGCACCCAAAGCCCCTTGCCCGAGGCCGCGCCACCTCCCCGCCGCGCCATACGTCACTTGCACCCACGCGCGGTGCGCGCCGAGCACCGTGCGCAGCGCCTCGACCTCCGCCGAAGAGAGGACGTCGGTCGCGACGTGCAGCCCGGGCACGCCCTGCGCATCCACCTGCAGCCGGGCCTCCGGCCCTTCCGCCGGCGCCGCGCCTCGCCACGCGTCTCGCAGCTCGGCCTGTGGACATGTCTCGGACATGTCATGGACGTGTCCCGGACAGCGCCACGCGTCTCGCAGCTCCGCCATCGCGGCGGCCAGCAGCGCCTCGTCGGCAGCAGCCTCCTCTGCGCCCGCCTCGGCCGCGTCGCGCGAGCGCTTCGACGGCTTGGAACGGCCTGCCGTGCCGCCCCTGGCGCCGCCCCTGGCGCATCCGCTGGCGCCGCCCTCGCCCCGCTCGCTCTTCCCCGAGCGCGTGCGCAGCTCGAGCGGCGCGGCGATGGAGGAGACGAAGGTGCGGATCGCCTCGGGCGGCGCCTCGAAGAGCTCGCCTGACAGCACAACCTCCGAGGGTGCTCGCGCCGGAGGGGCGGGGCGAGGGGTCCGCCCTCTGCTGGCGCGCCTCCATCGATCCAGCGCAGCGAGAGCTCCTCCGCGCCGCGCCCTTCTCCGACCACCTCGGCCGCGAACCAGACCTCCTCCTCCGAGTCGTTGTCCTGCACAGGGGCGCAAGGAGAGGGGGTGGGGGTGGGGGGGGGGGGAGGGGGAGGCCGATCTCCGCACCGCCACTCCTCCTTCCCCTCCGCCCGCCCCCCTCCCGCCGCACCTCCACAGTGACCGAGCCCTGCCACAGGGCGAGCACCTGCGCGGAAGGCACGAGCACACGAGGGGTCACAAGCACGATCACAAGCACGAGCGGTCACCGGCAAGAGCCGTGCTGCCCCGCCCCGTGACGCGGCGGGCAAACGGCGTGGGCGTGGGCGTGAGGCCTCACCCGCGTGCCGCTCGCCATCTCGCAGAGCGGAGGCACGCGCGAGACGAGCGCCACGTTGTGCGCTTCCACCCACGAGGGGTCGTCGCCTGCAGCAAGCGCGTGCAAGGCTCTGAGGGCGAGGCGTGCGCCGCCTGACTCCCGCACGAGAGGCGAGCACCGTCGTCCCACCCCACGAGGAAGGAGGCGCCTAGGGAACGGCGCCGAGGGCGTGACGCGGAGCCGCCCCTCCCCCGACCAATGCACCGAGGCGCGCCCTCGCCTCTCCCGCTACCGCCCGCCGGGCCGCCGGCCGAGTCGCTCATCTTCGCGTCGTCGACGGTGCCGCCGTAAAAGTAGCCGTCATGGAAGAGCGCGACCACGTCGTGCCCCGTCCGCACAACCACCTTCTTGCTCGCCGACGACGTCCGGGCCGGCTGTGGCGGTGGAGGTGCCGGCGCCGGGGCGGGAGGAGGCGCCTGCCGGTCTGCTGGTGCGGCCGACTGCCCGCCCTTTCGCTTGGCGGCAGCCTCCGAGCCGGCAGCGAGGGAGAGGGCCAGCGCAGACTTTGCCCGCTTCTTCAGCGGCACACTCGCTAGCCCTGCCGCCAGCAGCTCAGACGCGGAGCCCCGCGGCTGCGCCGCCTGCTGCTGCCTGGCGCTAGCCGAATCGCCGTCGCCGCCACTGTCGCGCCAGTCGCTCGGCGTGCGCGCAGCCACGATGGGACCGCCGCCGGTGTCGACCGTCAGCCGGTTGAGCGCGGCGCACGAGTAGCATTTGACGGTGAACGAGCGCCCCCCATCCACAGGGATGGCCACCTCGTTGACGGTGTTGCAAGCCGCGCACGGCGCGGCGAGCAGGCTCCTCGCCGCCTTCTCGCTGCCCTCGCAGGCCGCCTCGCCGTCGGCTACTAGCGCACCCGCTGGGGACATGAAGGGTAGCTCGCGCGCCGCGTTCAGGTCCACGCAGGCGTCAGGGAGGAGGAGGAGTCACTCACTCGCGTGTGTCAGCGCCGCAGAAAAAGAGTGAGAATTTTCCAAGAAAACTCCCTCGGACAACACTAGGCACGGGACTGGCGCGCACTGGCACTAACAGAGAGAGAATCGTCCATGTCAGTCTGCTGCTAGGGGAAACCCGGAGCGCGGTACTATGACTCGGAGACCCGCGAAGGCGCCTAGAGATCGTGTGGGCTCCCCCGGGCCCCCGATAGGGTGCCCACAGGGCCCAAAAAAAGAAAGGAAAAAAGAAATGGGCCACCCCCGATCGCAGCACTTCGTGTTGGCCAGTCGAGAAATTGAGAGTGTGACTAGGAGGGTGGGACGCTGGGGATTCTCAAAGGTATACCCTTGGAATGGCCGGATCCAGCCTTAAAAGTACGAGATCGCGCGCGCTTCGCGCGCTGCACCGCCTATTCTCCGCGGCTGTGTGACGCGCGCGTGCCGTGTACCAGCAGGGTTGGGCGCGCGCGGCGCGACGGCGCCCGCGAGGGAAGGCGCGGGTGCAGCGGCCGCCGGCGGCCGTGCCGCCCGCCAGCCGGCGCAGCAGCGGCCAGCGCAGCGGCCGCCGGCGCAGCAGCCAGAGCAGCCGGTGCGCGCCTTGCGAGGCGAGTACTGCCGCCCGGCAGCCTTGAGGCGGCCGGGCGGCAGTACTCGTTGGACTTTGCGAGCCGTGCGCGCGCCGAGGCGCCCGCGGCGCGCGCCCGCCCGGCTGCTAGTAGGAGGCGGCGCAATATGGCCTATAGTACAGCCCTTGAGGAGGAGGAAGAGGCTGGCTGGCAGTGCTGTATGCCGCCGAGGGGCAGTTTTTGGGTGCTGTCACGGGCCCAGGGGGCTGCAGAAGGCGTCCGCAGCCGGAACAACCCGCCCCCCCAGCCGAGGCCGGTCGAAGCCCACTTGAGTGCAGCCATGAGGAGTCCTCTTGGTGCTCCTGGCGCCCGTTGGAATGGCGAGCGCGCGCCGATGGGGGGGGGGGGGGGTCTTGCTTGCTCCACACCGAGCGCCATCGGTCCGGACCGGTGCACTCACCGAGGGGTGGCCTGCACAAGGTCTGTGCCGCGGGCGCTCGGCGCCAAGTGCAGTGTCACGCTCGTGCTCGCGCGTGACAAACCGGGGAACCCTCTTTTCCTATGTACTCGGTCCCCCAACGGAAGAGGCCTCGCTCCTATTGGAACTGGCCAACATCAGATTTGCCTCGTGCGTCCCTTTTTGAGTCGAAAAGCTATTTTCTTTTGGGTCCTGTGGGCACCCTACCCCCGAATCGAGATTGGAGATTGGAGATTGAAGATGGAGATCGGAGATCTGACTGGATCCGGCCCAAGATGTAGCGACGCTGGAGATTGGAGAGTACTGGAGAGATGGAGATCGGAGCCCCCCAGGTAGTGGTGTCTCATCGATTTTTTTGTTTTGTTTTAGATAAAGGTCTGTGCGCGGACGGCCCGGGGAGCCTGCGGCGCCATTTTAATCTGCGCTCCTGTTCATGGCCTGCGGCGCCTTGGCTTGAGCTTGGAAGTGATCTGTGATCTGTGAGGGTCCGCCCGCAGGCGCATTTTGTATACCGAGGCGGTGCCCGGTGCCGAGCGCACCCAGAGCCCACAGGTCGGACCTTAAGACAGCGTTGTAGATCCCTGGGCGAGGGTGATGGCGTCCCCGTCGGGTCAGGGCTGAAGGCGGGGGAGACCAACCCGATCTCTCCGGCGTCCCGGGAGCGTGATTGACACCTCCCCCCGTGCCAACAGCCCCATGGAGGTAGGCCGCTCGTCTAGCCAATCAGCCTTAAGCGAGCGGCCTGGCCGTTGGAATGGCCGAGAGTGTCGGCCGGCCGTTCGGTCTCTTCCCCCGGGGGGGCCTCAATGACCTAGTTGCCCGGCCGAGAAGGGGAGGACGACTGTCCCTGACGGCGAACCTCAGTTACGAGCCGCCCTCCCCTCGAGACGCGAGGCCAGTGCACTTGGGGCCGAGCCCCAGCGTGCACCGCCCCACACGCCTCACGCGGCCTCTGGCTGGAGCGGGATCGCAAGCGAGTCCCCCAGGCCGGCGCGCGTCTTCCGAGAGAGGAGCAGGAGTGAGGGACATTCTTAGTAAGCCGGCATGCAGATGCATGCACGGCCGTTCAGAAACTCTCCAGCCGTTGGAATGGCTGCGCTCCCGCCCCTCACGCCGGGTGGACAAGCGGGGGGGAGGTCAATGACCTGCCTAGTCGCCCGACATGCCAGGCATGCCGACCTTTCGGAGCCCCCCCTCGTAGACGTGTGCCGCTGGGATCATTCCAGTACGCCCGAGGGCGACGGTCCCCCGGTAGTAGACGTTGGCGCCGAAGAGGGAGGAGTCGCCGAAGGACGGGTAGTCGTCGGTCATGCGGGGGGAGGAGGAGTCGGCGAGCAGCAGGGAGGAGAAATGCCTGAGAGGGTGGGGAGGGAGGCGTGAGGCGCGAGGTGAGGGGGCGCGGGGCGCGGGGCGTGCGTGGGACGCGCGGCGTGAGGCGCCGGGCGTGAGACGGGAGGCGCGGGGCGCTCGAGGTTGGGGCAGGGTGTGTTGTGTGTGTGTATGTGTGTGTGTATGTGTATGTGTGTGTGGGTGTGGGTGTGTGTTTGTTTGTTTGTGCGAGGGCAGGGCAGGGCAGGGCAGGGCGGCGGCGAGCGGCGAGCGGCGTCGGCGAGATCGGCGACGAAGCGAGGCGATGGTGACGTACACGGCGGCAGTGTTCACGGCAGCAGCGCCGGTGGCGGCCCCGCGCAGCGGTGGCGGCGCCCTGAGTGAGGCAGACTGCCCTGCACAGCCTGCTGGGAGAACTCCCGACGAGCGGCGAGCCATGCGGGCCCGCCGCGGGCGACGCGGGCGGCGAGCCGACACGCGTGTCGCCGGCGTAGACAGCACTGCGAAGCGAGGCGGCTGGCGCCGGCCCCGGAGGCGGCTGCAGTAAGAGCAGCGAGGCAGAAGTCACTGTCCAAGGCGTACTGAGCAGGCTGCCATCGAGCAGCTCGCCATGCGGGCCTGCCGCCGGCGACGAGATTGGAGAGCCGACAGGCATCAAAGAGGTAGGTACTGAGGAGGGCCATCGCGCCCGAGGCGGTCCGCGCCGGCCCTGCAGGCCGTCTCAGAGAGCCTGGCGAGGCTGTACAGAATGCCAAGAGCATACTGAGCAGGCTGCCGTCGAGCGACGAGCCATGCTGGCTCGTCGCAGGCGATGAGGTCGAGGAGCCGATCGGAGCGTCGCAGAGGCTGCCGACCACTGCCGTTCGCCCTCGGGCCCAGGGGTGGAAGGCAAGCTTCCTGGCGTTTCTGGCGAGCGTCCAGACGTCGCAGAGCATCCGGCAGGCGCGCAGCGACCCAAATTTTTGCTCACCGCACGGCCGTGCGAGCCGTCGGTCGGTGGTGATGGTCGGCGTCGGCGCGCGCCGACCGACGCGGCGGCGGTGGGCGTCATGTGGCGGGCGTGGGAAAGAGCATTGTCCGAATTTCGGCGGTTTTTTTACGTTCGCGCTTGGAAGTGTAAACGAGTCCGCCAGGGCGGTCTGCAAACGGAGCGCGCTGCGCGGCGCGCGCGGTCTACGCCGAACTGGGGGCGGTATCATGGTCCACGCTGCCAACTCGGCAAATAGGCTCGCCGACATAGACCGCGTACATAGACCGCGCGCGCAGCGCGCTCCGTTTGCAGAAAAACCTTCAAGGAGATGCAATTTGGATTCATTCATACTGACCATCTCTCATCTCCAATCTCCAATCTTCTACTTGGCCACTGTCGCCGCCGGCAGCAATCTACGACCTCCATTTCAATCTTCGATCTCACATCTCGTGGGGCGGATGGCTGCTGGGCGCTAGGATCTACAATCTGCATTCTCCATCTCCTATCTCCACATTTTGGCCCTGTTGCTGCTCAGAGCGATCTGCAATCCACAATCTCAATCTTCGATCTTTAGTCTTGAATGGGGAACCGGACACAGGAGGGATACTGGTTGGGTAGTAGTCTAAGTTCTGAGCCTCGAGGCTGAGCGGGTCTAAGTGTGCACGTGCACACTGGGGTGCTTACGCGGTCTAAGATCGGCGGCAGCCTCTTATGCGGGCTAAGAGGCTCCGTGGCACGGCCTGGGGCCAAGAGGCTCCCACCGTGATCAACGATACGGCGCTAGCCCGCAAATTTTCTTCGCCTGCGGCGGGCGCCTTTCAATCCGGATCGATCCTTCTCATGCTCAGCAATCGCCGCCTCAGCATCCTCCTCTTCCGATTCTCGTTGCTCTTTTTGAGCGCAATCTTCAAGCCAAACAGTTCTCACAAATAGCCTCAAGCTCAAACAAACGCATGTCAAGGAAGCCTGTGTATGCTGGTCCTCTTTGAACGATCCGCGCGTGAGGTAGCATAGGGCCTTGTTGGCAGCAGCCAGCTTGCTGCGCTGCTTCGTTGCGATGAGCTGATTGGGATCGCAGAAGTGCATGCCAAGCACCGCCACGATCTTGAAGCAGAACACATCGCAACCGCATCGTCCGCACTGCCATCGGCATGCCGCGCCCGCCGCTTCGCCGCAGCCGCCTTAAGGCACGCATAGCGGCAGCACATGGTACGGTGCGCGTACTTGAGCAGGAGTTGCGCGCCGCAAGTAGCGCACTGGCCCTGGGACAAGGCGATATATGGCGTCGTGCGCGCGGCATACGTTGGTCGGGACGCGTCCAGGTATTTTTCGGGTAAACCTGGACTTTTGCAGGTATACCCGGGTTTTACCCGAGTTGGCCTTGTGTCGTCTAAGTTCATGGCCCCCGACCATACAGCGTCTAAGTCTGAGCCCGGCTCCGTGCGGGGGCAGCTGAGCGCTCGCTCGCTGCAGAGGCTAAGTGTAGAGCGACCCTCTAGCCCTACTACCCAACCATTGGAGGGATCTACTGGGGCGAGACTTGGGCGTGTCCGTGTGAGAGATCCGCCTGGATGTGTATAGGATCTCCCCAGTCTTAATCTACTATCTCTACCCCAACGATCTACTGGTCTTGCGTAGAGATGTCTCCATTACTCACAGTAGCACATATAAAAGAGTGTAGTCGCTACAGCGTACAGGGGAGTGAAAGTGCTTGGATCTCTGAGTGACAAGTTGTACACACACTCTCCACCATGGTAAGCGCCCCCCCCACAAATCGCTGCCGCACCTCTCCCCTCACTCCTCACTCGTCCCTGAATGTGCGCCAGAGCTCCAGTAATCTCCGATGGACGCTCGCGTACCCGTGGCGCGACGCGTCGCCCTCCCCGAGCGATCGCTTCTCGATGACGCCCTCCTGGTCGTTGAGCTTGGTCAGGAACCAGCCCTCGCCGTACGTGTAGACCTGCTGGATCGCCTCCACCGTCCTGTCCTTGAGGACATCGATCCGCAAAGTGACCGTGCTGCAGCCCGAGCCGCTTCCGCCGTCGTCGGGCCAGATGGCGCGCGCCTGGCGGTAGATCTCCGCCAGGATGCGCAGCGCCACCTCGCCGTGCTCTGCGCCGAGCGTCTGCAGCAGCGCGGGCGAGTAGTAGATGAGGAAGGCGGGGCCGAGCTTCGGGCAGCCGCGCGCGAGCGAGTAGGTCTGCTGCGGGAGCCCCGTCTGCGCCATCTCGAGCTCGAGCACCTGCACGCGATAGGGACCGTGCGGACGGTGCGGGGCTGCGGGGTGCGCGCGGCAAACCCTCACCGCGCGGCCCCCCTCTTGCTCCTATCTCTCGGCCATCTCTCGGCCATCTCTCGGCTCTCTCTCGGCCATCTCTCGGCTATCTCTCGGCTATCTCTCGGCTATCTCTCTCTCGGCTCTCTCGCGGCTGTCTCTCACCGCGCGGTCCGCCTCCTGCAGCCGCCAAAAGGCCTCGAAGACGCCCTTCTGCGCAGCCTCGTGCTGCGCCTGCACGATGAGGCGGCAGAGGGCGACCGCGTGCGGCCCGCGCGGCTCGGGGCCGAGCGCGCGCGGCGCGTCCCTCCAGCGCTGCCTCAGGTACCCCTCGAAGACCTCGGTCTCGCTCTGCTGGGCGAGCTGGCCGACGATGGGGAAGGACTCGATGAAGGAGGCGAGGACGCCTGGGACGAGGCGAGGCGAGGGGGTGGGGGGCGAGGGGAGGGAGGGAGGGACAGCGTCGCGCACGGGCGAGGGGGCGAGGGGGCGAGGGGGCGAGGGGGCGAGGGGGCGAGGGGGCGAGGGGGCGAGGGGGCGAGGGGGCGAGGGGGCGAGGGGGCGGAGGGGGCGAGGGGGCGAGGGCGGAGGGGGCGAGGGCGGAGGGGGCGGGGGGGGCGAGGGGGCGGAGGGCGGGCCCGCGCCGTGCGGGAAGCGGAGGCAGAACTTTTCCGAGCCGCGCAGCGGCGTGGGCTCGGCGCCGGCGAGGTCCGTGAGCCAGTGCGCAAAGTAAAAGGCGATGTCGGCCGAGTTGATGGCGTTGGAGCGGATGCAGGCCTTGAAGTGGGAGAAGACGGCGGCGGGCGGCGCCTCGGCCTGCACGAGCCAGCCGTTGTTGAACCGGATCTTTGCTTGCGTGAAGCGGATGGCGCGCTGCAGCTGGTGCGTGACGAGCTGGAAGGAGGGGAGGAGGTGGCCGTGATGCTCGAGGACGTACCTGGAGGGAGAGGGAGAGGGAGAGGGGGAGGGAGGGGAGAGGCGGGGTCAGAGGCGGGGCGGGGTCAGAGGAGGGAGAGGGGCGGGAGGGCAGGAGGGAGGCGGGAGGGGTGAGGAGGTGCGGGGTAGGAGTGTGCGGGAGGGGTGAGGAGGTGCGGGGTAGGAGTGTGCGGGAGGGGTGAGGAGGTGCGGGGTAGGAGTGTGCGGGAGGGGTGAGGAGGTGCGGGGTAGGAGTGTGCGGGAGGGGTGAGGAGGTGCGGGGTAGGAGTGTGCGGGAGGGGTGAGGAGGTGCGGGGTAGGAGTGTGCGGGAGGGGTGAGGAGGTGCGGGGTAGGAGTGTGCGGGAGGGATAGGAGGGTGCGGGGTAGGAGTGTGCGGGAGGGATAGGAGGGTGCGGGAGGGGTGAGTCGCGCGCCCGAGTGCGACGTCGTGGTCGGAGATTGTGTCGCCGGCCCCGAAGCCGAGGTAGGGTGCGTGCTCGGGGCTGACCGACGGGCGCATCAGGTCCACCTGCGGTGCGGGGCTCGCACGTCTGGTCCGGGAAGGGAAGGGGG